TTGCAAGGAAGCCAAGGATGGTGTGGCAAGGCATGGGATAGTTTATAGGAATTATAGGAATAGAAGTTATTTGTGAAGTTGTTGAAAAGTTGCTGGGAGAATGAATGAAGACAGTGAATTGGGAATAAAAATGGAAGGAAACTTAAGCTTTGTAGGGAAAATTCCAAGGGAGGCCTGATCTCTAGGCTTTGAATGAAATTGTTACCTGTGTCCTTAACACTTCCTCTCCTAGACTCATTTTTCTTAATAGTGGTTTCTTAATTTCCCTCCCCTTCACCAAGTCCATATATATTTATTGCAGCCAAAAATACAACATACTTGTTCTCTTTATTTTTTTGAATCACAATTTTTTTAAAAGAAAGATGTTCTATTTTTCTTGCTCTTGTAATTTCTTATAGCAGAATTTTCATGAATATTGCAACTTGGTGTTTCAAAATAACTTTATTTTTAGATCTACGTAAGAGTTGAAAATAGAATTCTTCTATACTCTTCACTTAATTTCTCTGTCAACATCTTATATAAACTTAGTACAATTATTGAAACTACAAAATTAATATTGGTACAAGACTCATTAAATGCTAGACATTATTCAGTTTTTGCCAAATATTCCACTATCATTTTTCTGATTGAGGATCCATTCCAGGGTTGCTCCTTGAATTTACTTTGCCTTGTTTCCTTAGTCTTTTCACAATCAGTGACACTTCCTGACCTTTCATGACCTTCATGCATTGGAAGAATCATGCTTATTTTGTGGAGTGCCTCTTAACTTAGATTTATTTTTGCAGTATGGCTTTATTTCTAAAATCTGTCCCTAGTGCTAGTCACACTCACAGAGTAAAACAGCACAGTGATTCAATTTTAGGTATAGTTTTTAATTAGAAAGTAATTAACTAGCAGAAAATTACTTTTTGATGTTGCAGTTTCCCATTTCCCCAGGCAAAGCTGTATCAAAATATGTATACAAAGGTAGTGCTATAAATGAGTTAATTCATAACGTGTGTTGCTAAGGTAATGGTAGAACTCTAACAACAAAAATAGTGATTACATTTCAGATAGGCAGAAACTAATGTTTGATTTGATAACTGATTTGATAACTCTTTCTGAAGGAGCCATATTGCATGAAATAACCAACTGATAACATTTTTCAATTTAGGGAGTAGATCTTTGTCTCGCCTCGCTGAAACACTAGCCTCATTTAAATTACTGAGGCCTTACACAATTAGGTTGTATATGTATTTCCATACATAATGTTGAATTACCTACATACTTTATCAGTATATTGATATATTGAAGTAAACTGCCTTTTCAAGACTGTTTTAAAAATCTTTACTTGAGGGATCATTTTGATCCTGACCTGTTTGATTGGAATACTTGGTTAATACACAGGGTTTTTGTTTTGTTTTTTTTTTTTTAAGACTTTGTGGGTTTCTGTATTCAGTTCTGCCTACAGAGTAAACTAATTTTTTTAATGTAAAATAAGTTAAAAATACAGTGCCTTACTACACTATATAATAAAACTATGTATTTCAATGTAAACAATTGAACATAACTGTTGAAGGTATAATGAAGGTACATGCTGTTGGTGCCCTTCCACCACCACGCATACAGTAGGAGGTAAGTGTTGACAGCTGGTGGCTCAGAGCTACCCTCTTATGTAGAGACTTGGCTTCAGGGAACCAGCATCCTGAAGCTAATGACTGATTGACTAGAGGGGTGAATGTTCAGACTGACCTCTCCTTCCAGGTGGTATTCACTGTGGTGCAATTCATGCTGAAGTGAGAATCCAACTGAGCCACATTTTCTTATGCCTCTCTTCCCTGGTCTGCTTTGCTTCTTTCACTCCCCTTATCCTGAGACCTACCTCTGTAAACTGCTGAGAATCTGTCAGGCTCTGCCTCTGGGGAACCTGACCTATGACAATAGAGATAGGGATGTGATTATTTTGAATAGATGTAAACTAAGTAGTGTGAAAATAGGTGACTTGCTCATGAAGGACCCATTATGAATATCTGGGAACTGCACTGGATTGGGTGTCTCAACTCCAGTTCTCCAGTTTCTAATAACCAGGTAGCTCAGAGTCATTTTATATGTTTATCTGTCTCTTCTGAAATACATGGAGCTTAGACTACCTGGTACTTAAATTCTCATGTTGAAGCTTTTCCCTGAAGATGCCTCAATAAATGAAGATGCTTTACTCTTCCTCTCTAGTTTTTTGAATAGTCTTGGAAGATGCTTAACTGAACTCTCAAATTGTAACAGAACATATGGATGTGTTCTCTAGAAAAAAGCCCTTCTAATACATTTCCTAAGGACCTGGTGGCCCCCAGAAGTGAAGTGCCAGTGTGTTGAGGCTTTTCTTCTTATAGCCCTTTCCTTTATAGACAGGTTAAAAATGTTTTCTAAAAATCCTGCATCTTCACTACACTTTTCTTACTCTTTCCCGTGGCATTTCCTCAGGCATACAGAGAATGACCATGTGCTAGATGAAGCCACATGCAAGGGAGTGCTCTGGAAAGGTTTGTGGTTTTAGGTAGTTGATTCTGAACTCCTTTGTAATATTTTTTTTCTGTTTTAACCTGAGACTGTCATCTCACTCATGTCGTAAAGGTCAGTGCCATAATTAATTGAGAGAAGTAGGATGAACTAGTGGAAAGAGGCTAGAAGAACTGAGTTTCTTCTTTAATCCCAAACATACCACTTGAGTCTCTTCCTTACTTGCAAACATACCACTTTAGTGTATGAGCTCATGTGATCTTGAAGATGCCTTTCCCAGGAGAACGCAGTAACCATTTTTTTTCTTTGAACTGTCCACCTTGAAATTTTATTTTGATTGAAACAAGTGATTGGCTTTTTTCTTTTTTTTTTTTTTTTTTTTTTCAGTATACTGAATCTATGAAGTATTTTAATTTGCTGTTTTAAAGAGGCCAGGTCATGTTTGGCCATTAGGCAGAAAGAAAATAAAAATATAGTGAATAATTTAAAAATGGAGATTCTCAGTGCTATTAGATTCTCCCCACCTTTTATAACAATTTCCTGTTTTCCCTATTACCTTAGTGAAATCTTGTAGGTAATGTTATTGTATTCATAATTTAAAAAAATATAATACCTTACTATATACTATGTAATAAAACTATCTCAATATAAACAATTGATCATAACTGTTGAGGAAAGGTATGATGAAGGTACATTCTTACATCTTGTTTCATGCCACTGTGAGTACAATAGCTACAGTGTAGGTTGATAGAGGAATGCTATTTTGGTGATACCTCAAGCAATACTATTCCTGGGATACCTAAACTCTAGAAATGGAACACAACTGTTGGTAGAGATAAAAAAATCATAACAAATCACAATGCAGCTAGTTTAGAGTAGTCAGATTCTTGGAAAATGCAATGTATATTAAAACCATGCAATTCAAGATATTTAATATGTAACAATAAACATATTAATTTGAATTAGAGTCTAAGCTTAGATAATTATGCCTTTTTTAAAAAAAAGCAAAACTCCTTGCATCTTTCTGTAGGACACAGGACCATTTTTTATTGTGCAGAATTAGCCTGTATGTTTCAGAATGTTTAACACCATATCCCTGTAAATGTGGTAGCAGCAGTTCAGTCACTGTGACATTCAAAAAGCCCCTCCTTCCCCCAACATTTCCAAAATGTTTCCTTCAGGGTAGTGGGGGTCTGTTGAGAGTCACTGACCTAGAGGGGGGAAAAAATAACCATTTTCGCATAATTTTTCTAGGTAGAACAGCCCAGAGTGACATTACTGATTACTACTTTTTTATTAAAGTGTCAAATGGAACAACTTTTAAGAACTTAAATATTTATATCAAGGTGAAATGAAGGAAATTTTGACTCCTAAGTGCTTGAAGGGTTTGGTAGTCAAAAACTGAGTCAGCTAAAGGCATAAACTTCAGTGTCCAATGAATTGTAGTACTCTTATAAAACTTGGAAGAAATTTAACTTGCTGGGCTCTATAGGTGATCCAAGCCCTGATTTTTATGGATCCATATCTGAGTGCATATGAAGTTTATATATATTTAGCTGTTTTGCATCACATATCACAAATGACCCGGGGTTAACATCAGGAGGAACTCATTTGGGCTGCCCTTCTCCTGCAGCCATTTCTGTCTCAGGCTCACTTTCATTTGCCAAAATAGCCTCTTAAGCAACTTCATTGATAGATCCTGGCAGCAATTCATATATTTATGTAGATACACTTGACTTTTGAGTTAGAAATAGGCCTGTAACAAGATTGGTACTGTTGAAAAATGTTTGATTTTTAGTTGGTGGCATTTTTGGAGGGAGTGTAGCACCTATGTGATTTGGAACATTCAGTGCATCAACTAGTTTATACATATTTTTGATAGGGGTGGAGAAGACACAACTAAAACTATACAGTGCTTCGTTTTTTGCTAGGATTAGCACTAGGTATTTTATATCAGAATCTGCAATGTGGTTTGTTTACTAATATTTACCTTTTAATTTTTGTGATACATGGACAGCTCTTTCAACTTAGTACAGGATAGCTGCAGGGGCAGTTGTTGTAAAAATGATGTATGCACATGTGTGTTTATAAAAATAACATATATGTATGTGTGTATGTATATATTTTAATTCCTTATAACCTAATGAAAGACAAATCTTGCAATGTTTAGCTATAGTGATGTGAATGTTATTTTAATGGCTTAATAAGAATTTTTAAAGTTTGGGAAAGTTAACATTTGTAAAGCATTTTCAAAACATAAACTGTAGGCAGCAGTAGTATTTTCCAAAAAATGTGCATTAATGCTTACCCTGTTAAAATGATCTAGAATACTTTATTCTTTTTATCTTCAGCTATTTTCCTTTTCCTCCAGGCAGAACTATGTGTAAATCATTCCAAAACAATTAATGCTGCTTTAGTCACAAATTATTGATCTTCTGTTCATAGTATATGTAGACTTGCTGCTCTACTTAGATTCTAAAATGAGGCTTTTTAATTGTGTTTTCCAGGAAGATATGAATTTAAATGAAGATAAAAAGGCACCATTGCGGGAAAAGGACTTCAGTATCAAAAAAGAAATGGTGATGCAGTACATTAATACTGCTTCCAAGACAGTAAGTAAAACTGTCAAGCTGAAAAATACTGCTGAAACGTTGTAGTATGGAAAACAATGCATTTGTCTAATGAAGTGATTAAGTTTGTGGGCAACCATAATCGGAGGGCTTTTGAATGTATAATTAAAGCACAAATGTTATGTGCTTAATGTAAATATATCTTATAACTTTTAACTGCTTTTGTTTTCAGTCAGTTACATTGCTAAGCAACACTATGATTGATTGGTCTACTCAGTGTAAGAACTCTCCTTGTTCGTAAATTAAGATCCTTATTGATTTTTAATGTCACTTATAAATTGGGATAATATTTGTGTTACAGAAAGTGAGAAAGATTCTCCTATAACTATCTAAATCAGATATATAATAGTGGCTTAGAGGCTTATCTTTAATGTGAGCTTCCCTATGGGTGAAATTATTTTGTAACAAATTATAAATGTAGATTCAGAAAAGAGCTTCAAGTCTTCATATGGCTGCCAATTTTCTAGGAAATCTTGAGATTCTTGGGTGGGAGAAATGCCTAAATATCTTAGAAACTGTGACTGGTACACAGAAGCAGTTTATTTTATGGAATAGCAAATGAATTTGACCATTTGTTTAAAATTTGTGAATAAATGGATTGAATGAAAAATATAAAATGGAAGCAAATGAAGAATTGGTTATAAGGACACTAGAAAATGACTGACTGCATTTAAAATAGAAATGGATTAGGAAAAATAATGCAACACACCATGGTTTTCACCGAATACTTGCTGCTAAGGCCAGGTCACGAGAACAGATGTTATTTATACTTTACCTCTGTTTATCTACTAGACCAGCTTGTGACTCTGAGGTACTTTTTTTTAGAAGAAAAACTCAAGTGATAAATTTTCAAACGTAGCTCATGTTTTGGCAGCCTGATACTCAGGTGTAGAAATCACTGAGTCCTGTGCTCTTTCCAACTCTTTGTGTAGCTGGATTCTGTATCTTGCTATTGTGATACCGCTTTTGTTCCTTCACAATACTTAGAGATCCCAAATCAGCATGACAGATTTAGGAGTAAGAGCATTTATGTATTCAATCAAGGTATCTTCTGATCTTGGGCATCTTATTTAACTTCTCAGATCCTCAACTTCCTCACTCATGAGATGGCACTAACTCCTACATTATGGAATTGTTACTAGAGTTACATTGTTGGGTCCATGAATAGGACATAGCACGCATTTTATAACTGATGGCTGCCTCTTAGGTAGCAGTTGTGGTAGTAGCAAGTTTTTACCTTTCTCAGTGATTTATCTTGCTGTTGAAATTTTAACTCCATAATTACAAATAATAATCAGTGTATTTTAGCAAAAATACAAAGTTACTATTCGTGATTCTGTATTTCTAAGACATTTGTTCATTTAGCATGTGTTTACTCAGTGTCTGTACATCAGACACTGTATTAGGCCCTGGAGATAGAGCACCAAGAGAGATGGTCCCCCTCCTGTGGAGTAACCAGCACATAAAACACATGAGGTGAAATGTGATGTGGCGAAAAACCAAAGCAGGGTGAGTGGAGATGGTACATGTTTTTATATGATCAGGGAAGACTAACCACTTTGGGGATTTTAAATCCAACAAGCATAAATTCACCTAATCATGAAAGAGACTCCATTAGTTAGAACCGATTTAGAAAATCTTGGTATAATAGTGCATTTCAGTTGTTGAATTACAGGTAATAAATGCTACTTAATAGAACAGACTGTTTTGAAGTTCATTATAGTGCATGTATTTCAGTTTGTATTCACTGATTTTAAACTTTAATCTTTTGATCATTTTGGACTAAGGTTGGAACTTATTTACCAGATTTAGATAATTAGATTATCAGGATTGAAATAGATTAGTTATCTAAAGCATGATTAAAGCATTGACTCATTTAATTAGTGTGCGGAGGATCATGACTTTTCCTAGGAGGATTCTGAATAATTTGGCAGATGGTTAACACTGGAGAAAGTTCAAGCTGACCAGTCATCTGTTTTTGCTTTGGAAGTAGGAATACATTTTATTAACTCTAGGGTGCAGATCTTGTCATACTACTGTATTTATGTTAATGAGAACTTAAAAAGTTCCTCTAAAAAAACTGTCACAATTCTGTTTGATTGGTCTAGAGAGGATGAGAGGAGTTTGTGTCAGATAGTTTTGTTACTGATTTTAGCCTAATAGTTTTCTTTTTAGATTCTCTTCAGTGGGTAAGCATTACTGTACATTTTTCCTTTTGAAAATAATGCTAATGCCTACAGTTGATGATTTGAAAAATGCTTAGAAATGTTAACTCTCAAACTAGCCCTAATTAGATAAGCCTGATTTTTAGAATTAAAAACAAAATCATTACTCAAACTAGATTATTTCCAAGACATTACTGAGTTTCATTTTCTGTAGCCAATTAAAAAAGCTGAATTTCTGCAGTTAGGATAGATTATTAAAATTTTATTAAACAAGAATACATAGAGACTAAAAATCCAGATCTCCATTTGTCTTCCTAGAATATGGATGTGAATAAGGTTTGACCAGTACAATCTAGTGGGCAGAATAGCGGGCAGGCTTTTGAGAAAGTTTTCTCCCCACTCATAAAAGGATCCAGAACAGAAAAGCGACTTTTTTTAACTCTGCACCCCCACCCCCCACCCGCCATTGTACATGGTTTAGAGAGTAGGTGGAATGCTTCGCACCTAACGTCATGGAGCTGCTTTTTGGTCCTGGTTCCAGACTCTTCCACTATGAGGTTACGCAGGTTTTTAGTTAAGCTACTTTAAGTTGGGTGTTTGGGCTGCTATTAGCATCCTCATAGACCACCCAGATATTTTTGCCTATGTGGACTCTCTGTATCTCTCGTTTACTCTGGAAATTACCCTTGTCACCTGAAGAATGATTTTAATGTACTCAGAGCATAGATGAGAGAGGAATTGTAATACATCAAGGCCCAGTGTCCATTCCCTGGCAAATGATTCACTTCTCAAGTTTAGTAGTAGTTTATTGGACCCTGCAGTCCTTAGAGCATAAGAATCTACATCAAAGCTGCAAGTATCATGGTCATTTTAGGTGGACTGATACCTCTGAGGAAGGCCTGATTTCTAAACTTCTTAGTTAGAACTTTCATCCTTTAAGTTTTTCCTTTTAGATTTCTTTTCCCAGGGAAAGTAGCAGAGTTCTTCCATGAGCACTCTGAGAAGTTTGCTGGATTCCTTTGACTTTGTTTTCAACTTATTTTCTTTCCTAGTTAATCTGGTCTCTAGTCAGCTGACAGTAAGGGCACCTCTGAGAAATTTCTTGGAAGACTTTGGTTTGTGTTTAACTTTACTTCATGAAACTTTCCCCTAGGTTCTTCTATAGTTCTTGCTCAGTTGTCTTACAAGAAGTATAAACATCAAGGATTATAGAATATGACTTTGAAAGGTGCAGAAACTAATAGAAGTTCTAAAACATGCTTACAAGATCTCAGTCTCACTCTTAAGTGTGAGATTATAGATTCTTATGTGTGTGAATATATAGAAGTTTATATGCAGTTTAAAGTAATTTGGAAAGTATTTTTGGTGTACTACTTGTTCTACCTGAGCAGGCCATAATGTTTAGTACTAACATGTTTTTTATGCAATGTCAACCTTGTAGGCATCTGTTGATCAAAAAAAGAACTGGTTTGTGTTTCTTAGAAGATAGTCATGTTCAGATTTGTGTATACTTTTTTTTTTTTTAAGATTTATTTATTTATACATACAAGAGCTGGGGTGCAGGCCAGAGATGCGGGGGGGGGGGGAAGGAGTCACCAGAGACAGAGTGGGGAGCAGAACAGGTGGATCCACTGAAATACACTGCTGAGGGGAGCAGTGGGCGAGACAGGAGAGGTCCACTGAGCCATGTGGGTCACCTCCCTGGCTGGGAATCGAACTCAAACTGCAGTGGCTGCCGATAGCCTCATAGTGCTGTGTCGTAACCCCTTGAGCCACCAGGGAGGCCCCTGTGTATATATTCTTTAGGTAGAAAGTTTAGAATTGATTTTGTTTGGCTTTTTTAAATAGTGTAATATCAGTGTGAGGAGTTTTTCGTACATTTCATTGTCCATTTTTTTTTTGCTTAGGCTTCAATTTCATGTTAATTTTGAAAAATGTAGATGGGGTAAATTAGGTTTTTATTTTCCATCACTTTTCATTGCTGAGGAATTTTATTATATAAACGACTTACATTTTGACCCCTAGAATCTTGGTTGAACTAGCATAGTTTTATCTATCCTTGCTTAAAGTTAACATGAATTATTATTATTATTTTTAAAGATTTATTTATTTATACAAGCACTAGGGTACAGGCCAGAGGCGCGGGAGGATGAGAGAATCCACCAGAGACAGAGCAGGGAGCAGAACAGGCAGAAGGACCAAAATACACTGCTGAGGGGAGCAGTGGACAAGACAGGAGAGGTCTGTCGCGCCATGTGGGAATCTCCCCGGCCTGGAATCGAACTGGCGCTGTGGAAGCTGCTGACAGATTCACAGTGTTGCGTTCAACCCGCTGTGCCACCAGGGAGGCCCCAACATGAATTATTTTTGACTTGCACTTCAGGTTAGGGATTTGATCAAAACTTTCCAATGACACGAAAACTTAGTAAAACTTTGTGGCTGGTACTTGTTATTAGACACCTATTTATTGGCAATGCCCTTGCTTATAATACTTTGTTTTTCTCCAGGTCTTGCTTGCTGACTAGGAGAAAATTTCAGAGCCTTAGGGCAGTGAACCAATTTCTTGTTAATAGTATTTCCCAGTAATCTGTCTGGCACTTTAATTTACATTTGTGCACATACAGGACAGGTTTTATTTATGTACAATTAAAATTATCTTCCAATAGCTCAAACTCATCCAGGTTCCTTATGAGTTGTTTCTGGGCAGCACCCCTGGCTTTTAATGTTCTCTGCTATTACTGCATTGTTTTTTATATAGGCAGAAGAGGATAATGAGGAAACTGGTTTGTGGTTTTTTTTTTTTTTAATAGGAAGATA